CCACCACCTCAAAGAGAGGTATTCAATGATGTTTACATTGCATATGAGCTAATGGACACTGACCTACACCAAATCATTCGTTCAAATCAAGCATTATCAGAGGAGCACTGTCAGGTACATATTTAAATGTACTCCTTTTAAATTATGCCTATGTTTATATTAACTATATGCCTATGTTGTCACATTATCACCTACTGTATATTCTGTGGAAGTTTTTCTTGACAGTTTCTTAGGTGGCAAATATTGTTTTGCATATTTAAAATAAAGATATAAATGTAGGATGTCATCAGGGAAGTTTTTCTTCTATATCTTGTTCCTTGACCTGATATTTACCTTCGACAAACTTGTTCAACTTTCACATCCTATTGCAGTGGTACTGCAACTTGAGATACTAGGTAATAAAGGACTTCTTGAGTTTCCTGAGTTGAGGGAGATTGGGTGATTTTCTAATTAGTTATTTTTGTTTGCAGAATTCATTTTTGGTCTAAGACCCTCAATATCTAGAAGGATTTATTAAATCTTCTTGTTGACACCAATATGAACTTTTTCTTGGTGCAGTATTTTCTGTATCAAATCCTCCGTGGGTTGAAGTACATACATTCTGCAAATGTTCTGCACAGGGACTTAAAGCCTAGCAACCTTCTCCTGAATGCCAACTGTGACTTGAAAATTTGTGATTTTGGATTGGCTCGTGTCACCTCTGAAACTGATTTTATGACTGAATATGTTGTTACAAGATGGTACCGTGCACCAGAGCTTCTGTTAAACTCTTCTGATTACACAGCAGCAATTGATGTATGGTCTGTTGGTTGTATTTTCATGGAACTGATGGATCGAAAGCCTCTGTTTCCTGGCAGAGATCATGTGCATCAGTTGCGTCTACTTATGGAGGTAACTTATTTGGTAGTCTTAAGTATTTGAAGAAGTTCAAGAAGAATTGATTAACATTAGTTTCTGTGGTTGAAATGATTAACCTGCTGGACTTGGAATTAACATTAATAAAGCAAATTGAAATTCTATGAGAGTATCATTCTGGAGTATAATTCAGGTTAAAGTTCAATACATTATGTCCACACTTGAGTAAAGTCAGACCCTTTAACCAAATTGATGAAATTAATGTCAAATCTGCATTTGCTTTGTTATGTTTTCTGTTTTTAACCTTGTGATATCTTTGACGATAGTATTCATTGAAATCAGTGTATCGGCATAACTGATATGTTTCATACTTACAGCTGATCGGCACCCCTTCCGAAGCTGATTTGGGGTTTCTGAATGAAAATGCTAAGAGATACATTAGGCAACTGCCTCTTTACCGCCGTCAATCTTTCCAAGAAAAGTTTCCGCGTGTCAATGCTGAAGCTATAGATCTTGTTGAAAAAATGTTAACTTTTGACCCTAGACAAAGGATTACTGGTAAGCTTTCATTGCCTGAGGCCTGAGGCTATGTATTATATGGTTAAAGATATAATAATATCAAAATGCTTACTTCACAATTTTTATGCTTCTTGACATCACAAGTACTTGTTAGAAGTCACCTATAACAAATTATCAGTTGTGAGTTGATAATTTGCATCCATTGCCCATAAATGCTTTTAGTTTTGCTTCAGGATGCCAGTTTTGTATTGATTTTTATATATATCCCTCAGAAATTGTTTGGGCATCATTTTATCTGTTAAACATATCTATCAATGTGCCACGTTGCAAACCCACTGCTTTGCATATCTTTGGCTAAATTTATCAACTAATGTGGTGTAAGTTCTGTTTAGTGGGGGTTAGGCCTTGTACGCTTGTCTTTGCATGTTCACAACTTACAAGTTCAGATTATGAATTTATGATAGCTATCTCCAGATGTAGCCTCAGTTTTGATAGCTGCAATAAGAGTTTTGGAAGTAGCTAACTTAGGGCCAGTTTTTCTTGTGAATGCTTTTTCTGTTTTTACCTGTAATTACAAAAAATACTGCCTTTTTTCTACTTTGTTTCCTCTTTCTAGAGATTTATACAAGAAATGGTGAAAACAACAATTTGTTGTGAGTTGTGTTATTTTCCCCATGTCTTATACGAAAAACTTCAAAAACAGGAAATAAAGGGAAAATAACGTAGAATTTTTTTCTAATTATTAAGAAAAATGGAAAATATCTTCACAAACCAATTGCATCCTTATAAAACATGGTCATTTTGTCAACCTACAATATCTATTTTTCATTTATTCAATTAAAAAAAATTGTTTTCTCCTTGTCATGGGAGATTTTCTTCAAAAATTAAGTAAATAAATTACTTGAGATCAAGTTATTAACTATGCTTCTCTGTCCATAAGAATTGAAACTAGAAGATACAAATTTTAAAGAGATAGATATTGAAATGAGGACCAATTTATATCAGATTGGTTGACTTAATGTTTTTTCTAAGCAAAAGACAAACAAGAGTCCTTATTGATTTTTGGGTTTCAACGAGACTCCTTGTATGGAACGTAGTTGACTAAGTTCTCACAGTTGCTTGTACACTGTGGACAACTATAAGTTGCCTTGCGTACCTCATCATGCCCAATATTAGAAACAGTAGAGTGCTGAAAGCCTACCCTCAGAATTTAGGTCGAATCCATTCGTCATTTGACACTTAGGAGAACAAAACATCAGGAGGCTCTGGACAAAGATGACACTTTCAGGAGTCTCTGTTCATCCCACTCTCTTTTTGGGTTCTCTCTTTTTTTTTTTTTCAAATTTCCTCGCCTATTGAACATTTAGGCATAAAAAATAGAAGTCATTCTTCCCAATTTTAGGCTTGGTTGCACAGGCATCAAGCACGGGAAGAGCACTTTATGTAGTCTAATGGGTTAAATTTTATCCTTGCTAACTGAAACAGTACTTCCGAGTCACTTTTTCAACGATTATGATTTCCAGTTATAATTGATGAGTCTAACTTATAAGTACCCTATGGAAAATGCAAGATTAACCTTTAAACTAGAGATGCCAAATATTGTTTATTGATAAGATAATGGGGTTAGTACTGCTCAGTTTCCGTAGTATTGTTTTGATTGACTGTTGCAATGGTTCATACTAGTCTCATAAGCATAGGCATGTGTGTTCAAATGCTGAAATGCAAGTCTTGTCCTAATGCTCACATTCCTTCATTTACGCTGTTTTGCAGTTGAAGATGCATTAGCACACCCCTACTTAACATCTCTGCATGACATCAGTGATGAGCCAGTGTGCATGACTCCCTTCAACTTTGACTTCGAACAACATGCTTTGACTGAGGAACAGATGAAAGAACTGATATACCGAGAGGCTCTAGCATTTAATCCCGAGTATCAGCAGTAGTGATAGTCATGTTGTCATTGGGTTGGTTTGGATCGTGTGATGTCAGTGTCCATAGATCAAGAGATTTCATTGTGTAAATATATCTATCATCTGAAACCAGATGATGACCTTGGAGTTGAATCATTTCCATCAGAGGCATGATTGGTAGACTGGAACAATCATAAGGTGTTTGTATTGGCTTATTTGCTTCATATTATTGTCTAATTCATTGGCTTTAAGCCAACTGATAAAACTCTTCTTCGTCTCAAATTTGTGCTTTTGAGTTTGAAACTCTCTCCCTCTAAAACGGAACCTCGTTAAATGTTATTATTTGTTCTGCTACCATGTAAAAATTTGATAATACGTTTTTAATCTTGACATTAAAAATTAAGTCCAACCGGTGGAAATGAAAAGAATGGTGGTTTATAGTTCAACCACTAAACCTGAAAATAAGCAATACTAAAAGAGAAGCAGAAATGTAAGCAGTAAAAAACTCTTCCGGACTCGTCTTTTAAGACACTCTTTTTGATTGGTGTACTTTTTTAAATTACTGACTTTTTAAAAATATAATCACAAGTGTGTTAAAGAAAATGTTTTTTTTTTTTTTCGTCAACAAAGAGAATGTTTAAGAATGTTGTCAGCATTCCCCACTCTATAAAGGGATGGATCACTAGTCATTGTGTATTTTTTATTTTTTTTGTCTAAACTTGTGTGTGTTAAAACTACTTCGTACTTTTCAGAGAATTGGGCTGTTTATAGTAGTTACTAGTTCTCTGCTTGTCACTGGCTGAATTTGGCATGTAGTTCAGTCGGTAGTTGAGGAACCATTATTTAAAACGTAATTCTTTTTCTTTTGTCATTTGATCTTTCGACGTCGTTGTTGATTGATTATAGAATTATGCTGAGAAAATCGATAGAACCAAAGTTATAGACTGGAAGGTGTCGGTGCTCTCTCCCAAAGAAGCTATGGTTTCTGTTAATATAATACTATCAAGAAAAATAATTAAATGTTATACTTTTTATAAATATAAATTTTATTTTAAAAATATTTATAATATTAAATAATATAGTTAATAATATATATATTTAATAATACTAATAAAAGAAGAGTATAAAAAAAATTTTAACAATTAATGCATCTTAAATTTATCATTTATTTTTTATAATAAGAAACAAAAAATATTCTATTTTATTTTTTATAAAAAAGACCAAAGAAAATACCAATTAAGCAGGGGCTCTCAACCCATTGAAAAATGCTGACAGTAAATCCTATCATTCTTTCAAACATGTTTTTATTATTAAATTAAATTTGCTGAAACACAAAACGAGTCTTACTTTTAATATTATTAATTTCTCCTGTACTTCGATAATGTTGAATAAAATTTAATCAATAACTAAGAATAATAAAAAAAATTGTGTAAACTAATGTATTCTAATATTCCTCTTCGACACTTCCCAAGAAAGGATCAGACAATTCAAGTTAGCGTGAAATAATCTCATTCAAAGTGAAAGATAGCATATATCTGAATTTATTTATTTTTTATCGAATGGATGATTCAGTCCACAAGAAGCATGTAATCGACTTTCTCCGCACAAGAGGCAGAACTGGTCCAGGACGAATACGATTTCCTCTTTATTCAGGAGTGTTCCGTTGAACCTCAGACGATTATTCTATTTATAGTCGTCAAAACACAAAATGGCCCCTCCATCTCCCACACATTAATCCAAGACGAAATAATATTTTTGCAAGAGAACACAATATGACATACAAAATTACAAATCTGTAAATAAAAATTACGTTGATCATGAAAGTAATGCTGACCACAATTTACTATTTGCAGAAAACAATTTTATGATACACGACCAAGTATTCAAGCACTTTTAACTCTTGATGCTCCCAAAGAATCTTGACAGACGAACCGGACCATCATCTTCACCATCGGTTCCAGAATCCTTGCTTCTTGACTTGAGCTTCTTTTCCTTCTTTGATCTCTTAGACCTGGACTTAGATCTTCTTGACGTTCTTTCTTCCTCGTCACAACTGGAGGAATAAGAGGATGACGAATAGGAGCTGGATGCAGAAGATCTTCTTGAATGCTACAAGAGTAGAGGTAATGAGGATGCATATTATATTTACATTTACAACTAAAATGATCAGATACAACATCTGTTAATCAACATTGTTTGGATATTAATATCATTCAACCAACAATTTAACATAAAACCAAAGGCACCTATTGAATCAGTTTGCTGCAACAATCAACAAGGCTGTTTTGAAAAATTAAAAAAAACAACCCAAGGGAAGCTAGAGATTAATTAAAATACAAAGATTTTAATCACTTCCAGCATAGATTGAAGGTTTTGACAATGACTTGGTCAGATGCACACTTTCATAAGTTAATGTTAAGGCAAAGTCATCAATATAAAGCAAAAGGTTTGGAAAAGAGAAGACTTCAAATCCATTCAAACTTATAAAAGATAAAAGAAAAACCTCACATTTTTAAGCAAGGGGAAGCAACTATGTAACATTGATTTCTTTCAATAAAAGATAATCATTTTCATCGAAACCTCCAGTCCAAACCTCAAGGTGAAAAAAGATATTAAGAGTAAATACAGCTAACCTCCTTAATGTTTCAGCCATTTTCAATTTTCATACATTTGACACAAGCCCTTTCAAGTGTGGGTTAAAATGAAAGATGTTAAATTCTGTTAGTTTTGGTGTCCTATATGTCACATGAGAAGCAAGTGCAGAAAATATAGGTCGAGGAGCTTGTGGGCTCTTGACTTGCTTCCAGCCCCAATTATGGGATATTAAAACTTCTTTGCATGACAGTCGAAAAAAAATACAAACCTATACGAGAGTTTTCAACAGGATGCAAACTATTTGTACGAGCACTATATTTAGTGCAAAATCATGTATGATTGCTGAAAGCTACAAGGAAATACAGTTATCAGTTCTTACTTACATAAAAATTAAAGAGATAGTTACACAGTTATTAAATTTCAATTCACAAACGGAACATCAAATTTAACATGAAACTTCTCATTTCATCTCTTGAAAAAAGTAAATGTCTTAAAAATCAAGAGCACCTTTCTCTTTTTGCTGCTGTGCTTCTTTGAAATTTTGTCCCTCTTATCTGCAGAGTAAAATAAGCAGTCATCATTAGAAGCTAAAATTGGGAAAAGTGGTAGGAGACCACACCAAGTTTCTGCAAATTTACCACACATACCTTTTGCATGTTTAGACTTACTACTCGAGTGATTTCTTCCTTGGGAGAGTTTACGAGCCCTTTCAGCATCTAGTTGAGCTCTGTACTCTCTCATCATCCTATCTGCATCCGCTTCCAACTCCCCCTTTCTCATTTCTTCTTCCTGGTAAAGAAAATACAAATCAAGTAAAATGTTTTATATATTGAAGAAGCACAAATTAAAACAGAGATGTTGACCTAGAAAATTGACACATAGAATAGCATCCATTGAAATTTAGGAAATAACTAGTAAACTAGGGGAAAATGCAAATCCAGAATATAATAGCCACAAAACACAGACGTTATAATTAACCTAAAGAGGTATGTCATTAGCAAATGTCTCCCTTAGGAATGAGCACAATCTGAAATGGCTTTTGGAGAACCAGGAAGTGACTTGAAATATCATATATTAAAAGCACATAAGATTGTACCTGATGGCCACTTTAATTAGTTTAATAGATAAAAAGTTCTTCTTAGCTGCAGGACTGCAAGTGTCCTTAATGGCTTGCTTTTCTAGTGGCTAGAGCAAATCTCACTAGACCCACTCTTAGTTACGAGCTATGACCAAATGCAAAGACCTTCCTTATTATTTTTAACATTATAGTCGCTTCTACATACTGTTTATTATCAGATGACAACGACCTCCCTTGCCCATTAACTCTGTCATATAGAGACAACTGAAAGTCAAGTGTGACCAGTTTGTACCTAGAAATAATAAAATTTCCTCGTAATATTATACATCTATGGTAACAGTAGTGCCTTGGGAAAAAAAGATTGATAATTAACAAACTAAGAGACTTGAATCTGAGCTCAACAGAAAAGTTTTAAGTGATACTTGTCGCATTATGAAATAAAAAAACAGGCAGTGTGTCATATGAAATCTCTGGGGAGGTTACTGGAATATTCTAGTAGTTTTTACCAACTAAATGTAATATTCTAGTAGTTTTTAAGTTGTTGAAATATATATATATATATATATATATATATACAAGTCTAAATCTGTTGACACTAGGTGTCAATTTTAAACGCTTAAATTATTTAATAACTTTTTATAAAATGTGAAATTTCACATAATATGGACATTTGAAAGTACAATCTATCAGTTGATATTCACTTATATTTTAATAACATATTGAGCATTATAATGAAGTATCATGATAAAGTGCTTATTAGTTTTGGTTTTAATGAAATTTTATAAATTTAATCTATGTAATAAGAACTTTCAAACAAACGATTAGATTCATAAATTTCGTATTTTATAAAAAGTTATTAAATAGTGTAAGTATCTAAGTTTGACATCTAATATATATACACACACACACACACTGTACGAATTATATTTCCTTTATAATATTTTTCAACATATATATCCTACAATTATGCGTTAACAAAGCTAATTTAGTTTTGTAAAGAAAAAATCATAAAATTATAATCTTTAAAACATTTTAAAATAATATATATAGAAATATATAACAATCAGTAACAGGTTTTTCAGATGTGAAAATATTTAACAGGCATATGGAGTAATGAGATACCAAACAACTCGCTAAAATTTACAGCAGGGTACAAGAGGATGATTCTAGACAATAAAGTTAAATGCAGAGACAGTAATGCACAGGCGTTAAAGCGGAACATCATTTATGAACAATTTAAACCAACAATGACATGTATTGAAATAACAGATAAGAGTAGAAAAAATTTAGAGCCTGTTTGAAAGAGCTTATAAACAGCTTATGACTCCCATAAAATGTTTTAAGTTTATTTCAATAAGTTACTTGGTATAGCTTATCAAAATAAGTTGAAAACAACTTATCCCAATAAGTTTCATCGTTGAAAAACAGGGTGCTAAAGAAGTTCTAAAACAAGTTGTGTATCAAAACTCATCCTTAATAGCAAACAAGAATGAATGGATGGATTTTCAAATACCTTTTGCTTCTGTTTGAACTCTTCCCAGGTAATAGTGTGAGAGGTGTTAAGGCTAGCCAAACGAGCAGCATGCCATTCTGGAGAATGAAATGAACCATCCACCTGCGACTGTCCTCATCAATAACGGTATAAAAGATAGAGATCCAACAATCAAGCATTTGAATCAAAGAAAGATTACAAATCTTAGTTATGAAATTGTGGAGAAGTGGGAAAGAGTGAAGAAAGAGATCTAAAGAGAAGTATGAAAGGGTACAAACCATGCCATCTTCAATTTCGTCGGGGCCAGCGGAGGCACCACCCAGCCTGGCTCGCTGCATAGCTTTGTAGGCTTGGTTTTTCCCCATTCTTATTTCTTACAACACAAATTTCCTCTATGATCATACAGATGCAGATTATTGCAACGATTTTTCCATTCGTTCAAATTAGGGGTTTCATTTCCCAATCTCCCTTTCTTCCCCCTTCTCATTCACAAACCTTATATGGGCCTTTTAAAACTCCTAGGCCCATATTCTAAGATGTCCATTAGATCCAGGACAAGGTTATGCGTTGCTTTGACCGAAAAATATACCACAAACATTAAAAATCGATATACATTATTGACATAAATTTTTATTGTGTGTCTTGAAAGAAAATAAAAAATAAATATAGTATCTTAACCTTTATATATAAAAGTAAAGTAACTTAGGCTAACTTCAAAGGCAATTTTGTCATATATAGGGTTTTTATTTTTGCTATAATAATATCTCTTGTTTACTAATAACAATCCATCAATAAATAAATTCCACTAATTATAAAAAAGATTCTATATATAAAAAAAGTATTATTATTATTATTGTTGTTTTTATTATTATGTAACAAGACAATCTAACTAGATAAGTGATAAATTGCAATTATCTCAAAATAAAAATTAAAAAATTTAGAACATGTTCGATTATATTTTTAAAAATAATTTTTAGTTTTTAAAAGTAAAATATAGTATAAATTTATACTATATTTTATTTTTAAAAATTAAAAAACTGTTTTTAAAAATGAAATCAAATATACTCTTAATTATTGTCACTTATTTTTATTTATTCAAAATAACATATTATAAATATATCTTTTTATTTATAAAATTTTTTCCTTTTCTTATTCTACTTTCCCTTAAACATCCCTAAACCTTAATGTTCAAATTTTGGTTGAGACTTCAGTTTATAAACTTAGTTGACACTCCCATTGAATATGTCATTATTTATAAGGGAATAAATTTGAAAAAAAATTGTATGATAAAATTATTTATGATAAAAGAAATTTATTAAAAAGTCAAGCATATACATTACTTGAAGATTTATATCAATTTTAAATAATTTGTTTTAGGTTATAAAATTAAATGAAAGTTATTATAGTTTATATATATATATATATATATATATATATATATAAAAGCTCATATATTGATATCAAGGATCATCAAAGATGTTCAAAAATAATACATAAAGATAATATTATACACCAAGTCACACACTTACACACTCCAGTACTAGAAGTTACTCACAAAGTTCCAAAATAAAGTAAATATGTTGATCCAACAACTAAGAAAACAATAATTTTAAGCTTTACATTAGTTCTAAACTCTAAAAAATAAATGAGAACACTTATGTAGGCAAATGTGTAGCTAGAATTTGCCAAGTCTTGAGTTTAATATGCTTCAATATCAATGTTGAATCTGCAATTGCCTGTGTAAAAATAATGTTGTTCCACATCTTCCATATATTTCAAACTGTTGTAGACCGAATGACTCACATGGCCTTCCACCTCTTTTTTGTAGATATCATACCCATAAAGTGTGAAACATGACTAGCAATAGATGTTGACAGCGATATCTCAACATCTAACCAACTCAAAATAGTTGCCCACAATTGTTTTGTGAAGGAGTATAGAAGAAATAGATGTTATGCATTTTCAGAATGATTTTCACATAGCACACACATATCATCTTCAAGTTGTCTCACCCTACATTTCATTAGATTTATTTTTTATGCAAATGAATCCAAGATCACTTGCCATGAGAAGATTTGAAACTTATGTGGAGACCATGACTTCCACATTTTTTACAACGTCTATAATTCTATATCAGATAAAAAGATATCCTCTGTCATACTAGACTAAAGTACTTTATACTTTATTTACCAGAGTAACCATTTAAATAATCATCCAATCATATCCAATGATTAATTTAATGTTATATAGATTGAATCTCTTGCAAAAATAGACAAAAGGTTAGTGTAAATTTTCCTCTCCCAGTCTCTTAGGCCCCTCCTCTAGCTAATACTATATATCTAGCTCTCACTAACCCACTTTTCATATTTTACTACTTTGTCTTCTTTTTCTGCACAAATTGAGTACAATCTTAAAAATAAAGAGGTTAAACACTCAGTTCTAAACCACACATTGGTCCAGAAGAACATATTAGCACCATCTTTTTAAGGCTTTTTTTATATTCCTATGAAATCATTATAGTTTTAAATGAAATGTGTTATTAATTTTTAAATATAATTTGTGGGTATTAATTTTTTTAACTATAGCATTTTTAAGAGTATTTGAGGATAATTTTAAGAATATTCTTAAATAGTAGCAATTTTAAATATAGTTATTTTTTTTATCATGACAAGTATATTTTTTATATTATATACATATTTTTTATTTAAAATTTAAATTTATTTTTTTATTTTATTTAACTTTATTTTCAACAATCACATAATTTATTTATTTTTAAATTTATTAAATTTAAAATAATCATACAATATATTTTTAATTTATTTATTTTTTTAAAATGCTATTTCAGGTTTCTACACTCCACCATTGTACATTGAAAATTAATTGATATAATATACGTATTACTAAAAAAATTGACGTTATATTCGCGAGGCATTATGAAGTTTGTAAATGTCAGAACAGATAAAGCTTTTAGATATATAATAGTTATATTTGCTGGAAATTTTGGGCAAGTTTTGTATGCTACGCACACATTTGAAAAAAAAAATTAAATAATTAATTTTAATTTTGCCACGCATGGCTCGAGTAACCGCACCAACAATAGGAACAAAAGCATGGCTTTCAAGAATTAGAGACCACCACGTGACGTGATTACAGGTTTCATGTTTGGATGTAGGTTTCCGTGTTACCAAGTTATTCCTTCCTTTGTTTTCATCCAAGTTTTTTTGGTCAATATAGCAAATTATTATATTTAGTATGAATTTTATTTCTCTTATTTTAGAGAAATAATTATTTGTCTTAATATGTCAATAATATTTTAAAAATAAATATTTTTTTTAAAAAAAATTAACAAGCATGCCATTCATACTCATGTTTAGGTCTTATCTTTTGATAGGATAATAAATGGTATGAAATGGGAAAGCATCGTATTTTCTTTATTGTTTTATTGAATATTTATTATATTTTTCACATGCAATAAAGGACAAGTAAAAGATAACTAGGGCTTGTGGGCTTTTCTTTAATATATTTGCAGAGATATGCAGATTCAAAGACAGGGACAGTGTCGATCAAAATAGGGATCATTCAATTCGATGTATAAAAGAGAGATTCTTTCATGCATGTTATTTATGCAAAATATTAACAGAGTATTACTGAAAAAAGGCATAGAATAATTTTCTGTGATATAGCTATTGATCAAGTATTATTGAAAATATAATATCATAAATTTAAAACCATATCTGTAGCTTTAAAAATTTATAGATAAATGTATAACAAAAATTACTCTTTAAAGTGAAATATGGTGGTTAATTTAACCCTTTTGCTAAGGACAACTAGTAGAAAAGAAAACATTATACTTAAAATCTTTTGTTAAATGATTTAAATGTGCTTTTTCTAGTTATGTGCAAAAAATATTTGCTTTTGTAGTGGTGACCTGTGAGTGGGCTTTCGTTTTAATTCCTTCCTGAATTGTAAAAATGCATAAAATTTCATTATCGCCATCAATAAGTTCGTTGGCTGTACAGATATAACCATAAATGCTGATGATTGAAGTAGATTTGGCAAAATATTTCTTAATTTTGATTTTTTTTTCAATAACATATTTTTTTCTTTAATCAAACATTTGGTCTTTATATTTATATTATTTTACTTTTCAAGTTCTTATATAAAAGAAAAAAAAATTAAACTTTGGATTTTATATAAAACTATGCTTAAAAAAAATCTTTATTGATTATCGAAATAATAATAATAATAATAATAATGTTAAAATTTAATCATTTATATTAGGTACTTTTTATTTTAAAATTTTAGATGAAAAATATCTACACTTCATTTGAGCATATATATATATATATATATAGATATTATATATCTGTTATTTATTCTAATTAATAGATATTATATATATATATATATATATATATATATATATATACATAATTAAACTGATAATACATCAAAATTATATTAATAAATTATTTAATACTCAATTCTTAAAACAATCATAAAATTAATTTTATAATATAAAAATGTATTAATTATATATATGGAACTATCTTTTTTTCTTGCATAAAAATATAAATAAATATATAATAAAAAATTTGAATTATTAATGTCATAAAATATTTTTTATATTAGAATAAAATTTATAAATATTTTATCATAAATAAATATTTTATTAATTTATATTTAATATTATAATTATAATATAATATTATATTAATACTTATGTTTACATGTATGATAATTGAATAATATATATTCTAATGAAAAAGTGAAAAAAAATAAAATATTAATAAAAATAAAAATAAAAGATTATAATTAAAGATCGGAAATAGGAAGTTGCTTGTATATAAAGATTAGTTATCCTATATAAAAGGACTTATTATGATTTTAAAAATATAGTTTGTTTGTAATGGTTTATTTATTTTCACAAGTCATTCAACATCTGTACTTTTTAAAATATAAAAAAAGTTTAAGATAAATTGTAAATAAAACAACATCAGGAAGATAAAAAAATATGCAAAACGAATAAAGAAAACATTCCCCTCCAAAATGAAATAATGCTTAAGATGAGTTTATTAGAATACAATACATCAAATTTTATGAACAACATCAAGTGCTATATTTGGCTAAGGGATACCGATGTAGCAATTATTTGGGTACTAATGCAAACATAAACAGTAAAGAGACAAATGGGATCAGCTCACAAGACCATGTCTTGCAATTATTTGTCTCCATTTGCCCAATTTAATGCACAAATCTTTCCCTCTTTAAACAAAAGATCAACAAACACTGACCCCAAATATAAGCATGGACTAAAAAACAATTCAAATCTTTCGTTGAAGAAGGTGACAAATGCTCAACACTGTGTACTGCGTTCTCCAAATGTGAAAGAGGCTAAGAAAAAATCACAGGCGTTTATTAACTTATTTTTTATATCTTTTTTCAGTTCTCTAGAAAACTTTAAAAAATTAATTTTAACTGTTAGAAACAAGTTTGATTACTGGAAGAAAGAGAGTTTTTTTTTTTTTAATTAGCTTATGATTTAATGATTAGACAGGAAAAGAGAATTATCACAAAGCCAGTTTTAATCTCCTGCCATGTGCGATCTTGTGTTTTAATGGGTTAGGGACGGATTAGAACAGTGTTGAGGAAAATCCCAATATTGATTATCTACCTCTTTTTGTGCACTTTGTGAGCTTGATTGAGCTCAAATGCTTTCTTTTGTTGTCTTTGAGGTTAAAAGATAGAACGAAAAATGCTAAGAAAATAAAAATATTTTTCATTTTAAATATAAAAAAAGAAACTTATAGTTATACCATATTTTTCATTTTTATCTAATACTCACACTAGTTCCTAGTTAGTAAGAAATAAACAATCCAATGAAATTGCATTTGAACCATACACAATTATTAAAAATAATTAAATAATGTTAGTAAAAAGTTTTTAGGATAATGATTAAAAAATTAAAATAGCTTTAAAAAATATAACAATACATTTATCTCTGTAATTTAATATATTTTAACATTATTTTTTAAAAATATATTATTTATTAATTCTTTAATCACACAGAACCGCTTTTTATTAACATTGGGATCAACTTGGGATCAAAGAAACATAAAAGTCAAAACCATCTTGTCTTAATAATTGAACTGTTCAGAATTGATGGCAACCTCATTCAGTTTGATTCTGCTCTAAGTGGTGTGGCCGAGCCAGCACAAAGGATAAAGTTGAAGTGGGCCTCAGGACTAGGAGAAGAAATTATTTTCATTTTTTTTTTCTGTGTATTTATATGAATAAACTAATTATATATATGTATATATTATTCATAAATATAATTTTATTTTATTTTAATTTTTAAACTTTTCATTTTTATTTATGTAAATTTTCGAATTTACAAAAACTATAATAAGAAAATTCGTTAATTGTATAATTGAGAATGTAAAAAATTAATTTGATATAAAAGCTTATAAAATATGCATAAAAAATGAAGAAAGAACATGATGAATGTTATCATATATTTGAGAATATGATTTATACAATAAATCAAAATGATGATTGTGAAGCAACCTTCAATGTCAGATTCAGATACGTGAATTGTGATCGACGAGGAATGAATTGAAGTAGATTGGCCATGACAAAAAGGTTGAAAAAAGAAAAAAGAGTTAAGCAAAGCCTTAAACAGAGGTATAATTATCAAAGTAGAAGTAAAGAAAGTCAGGTGAAAAGAAATGAAAAGAAGTATATCCTAATCCTTGAGGAAGAAATTGGGCACATGACCTATGGTATGATACTTAATATATTCACAACTATTAATTAAATTTATGAAAAGGAATATTATTTTTAACCATTGAATTAATTTTAAGTAGTTAAAAGTTATTATTAAAAATATTTATTTATTTTACATATGTAATACAATATTTTTTTTATAAAATATGATTTTTAAAATTTTCCATTCTCAATCATGAGAATTAAATTTAACATGTTAAAAAACATTTAACACTCAAAGTGGATACCAAAAAAATTAATTTGCAAACGGATTGTGATTATCTCTAATTTATGTGGAAACGTGACATTTATTTTATTTTTGTTTAAGTGAATCTAATTTTAATTAAGTGAAAAAAATAATTTTTTATTTAAGTGAGTGGATTGCTTAAACAAAAATCACACAGAATGGAATAACAACGTAACAATAATCCTAAGTTTCGATTGCGTTTAAGGGACAACATAAAATTACAAAAAAATTGTGAAGGGCTACGTTGCATGGATACAAGTATGGTACCGGTACAGACTATGGATACAGGTACGAGAGTATTCGAATTTTTCAAAAATTAAGGTATGGATAAGTCTATATATAATAAAAATAAATAAATAAAATTTAACATAAATATAATTAAATAATATAAAATTGTTTAACAATTCATTAAAAGTGATATAATATAAAGTGAATCACATTTTAACAAATAAGATTCCAACAAAAATATAAATTTATAAATTATTCTATACTCAACAATAAAAAGTTAAGTATTCACACTTTAACAGGGTCAAGCTCATTTCCTTCTCCATTATTAATAAAAAACATAGTTTTCAAATTTAGTTCAAAGGAAAAGTGTAGCAATTTCAATAATATCAACTGCTGCAAATGGATCCCACTCATCACCACCAATATCTCATATTTTGGTTTCATCCTCATAATAATTATTATTCTTTTTTAAGAGAAATCGAAGATTTGTATATATAAAAACTAAATCTTCAGTCCTCTTAGGATTGAGTCTATTTCTTCTCATGAGATAAATGAAATAATATATGTTCGCTCACAACATGTGGAGGTACGTGCTTCGTTAAACCATTGCTACAATAATACCTATCAATAACTTAAAGTTAATTCACTATAACCAAATAATTAAAATAAATTAAAACTTATAAATTAAGTAACTTTACTTAGGATTTAGTGAATAAGTCAAACAATGAAATGGTGTATTACTTTTAATCCACCTATCAATCAAAATAATATAATTAAAAATGATAAATAAGTATTAGAATATACTTCTTATTTATCATATCTAATTATGTATCGATAGTATATGATGACTGATAGTCTATTAAATAATAATAAAAAATATTATTATATATGCATGGCTGATAGTTGTGCTGGTAAGGTAAAAAATTTACTTAAATATAAAAATTAATTTTAAATAAATTTTATTTTAGAAATTAGTTTTTAAAAGTGTATTATTTAGATAAAAAAAAAGTGAAATATTATACTTCCATGTGGTCATATTTATAATCATCAACTACTAGTCGCTAGCTATATAGCAGTATAACCAATTATGACCCACCCATTTAAGCAGAAATCCAAAACTTATTCTGGACAAGTGAGTGCAAGTGTGAAACATAGTTACCCATTGACTCATCGTACGTGCATTTTCTCACATATTATTGACTCTCTGGATTGCTATAAATTTGACACTTACGCTTAATATTATTTTTTCATATAAAAAACCACATGTAAATCACTCTTCATCATTTATTAAAATTATAATAATGTTAACGTTTATATTTAATGCTTTTTCACTTTAATTCTTATGAACTTTTTAAAGTGAATCCGCCGTAAATCTACTAGTTCACATCTTAGTTTTTATTATTTTTGTTGTCTTTAGTTAGTTAATCAACCTACTCTTAAATGAGATAGGCTAAAAATTATAGTAAACAAATTTATTTTTTAAAAAAAGGATTATCTTGGTTAATATTACTTGTTGCCATGGCAAAATCATTATAAATAGTTAAATAATTTATTTATTAAAAAAAATGTCTATACAAATTTTAATTGATAATAATAAAAATACTAAAATATGGTTACTATTATTCTTCAGTGTAATGATTCGTATGCAGCCTTCAGTGTCCTGTCAAGCTTGAAAAAGCAGTGTATGTATTGTATGCTCTCTTTACTTTAAAAACAATGGCTTCCCCAAGCTTGCAATAGTAACAAAGTAATAAATAAATTATATAAATCACTAACTCTATTTCATGAAAGTAAAATATTATTTTTGCTAAATTATATTCATATCTAAATTAATATTAAATGTATACACATTACATGAAGGTAAAGGATTTCTGATTTTTTTTTGTTTTGTTTTAATAACGTGTGTAAACATTTGTATCTCGTACCAATAATTTTTTTTTATAAGAATCTATTCTAATATGTAAAATAAAAAATAAATTTTTATATCACTCAAACATAAAAAATATATGCATGAATTATTATTAATTTCCAAGTTATTGTAAAGGATATTTATATCTAACAAGTATAAAAATATGGAAATATAGTAATAATTAAATCAGATGAGCAAGTGTTTTTTTTTCCACTTTGAACATAAATTTTACATGATTTTTTAAAAATAAATTTATAATAATAGATCTTCAAACTATACTAGAGTAACAATTTGCATTAAGATAATATATAATAAAAACAAAAAGTACTTACAAGCAATGAAAGTTTGATATGCAAGGTTAATACTAATTAAGTAATATGAATAAATACTTAGATTATATAAAATAAAAGGTTGATATCAGAATATATGATTTTCTAAAAACAGAGTAAATATATAAATTATACGTATATGAAAGGTCTACCACCCTCAATAAGTTTGATTATATTATTGGTTAGGTTGGTAAAAGCAGAGGAAATGCAATGAGAAAGAGTTTGGAAGTTTTGGTGGTCACAAGTGAGGGTAGCAGAAAGAGGACAAGGAAAAGATCACAACTTTTCAGGCAGATTAGACTGTAAGAGAGAGAGAGCAATAGCATTATATGATTATAGCATAGATAGCATGGCATGGCTCCGATTCCTTTTTACTTTAACAGTTTCCCTTCACTCCCTCCAAATGAAGAACACTGTAGTAGCCTGTTACCTGTTACCTGTTACCTGTACCACCCCAATACAGAACAGAGAGAGATCAACAACAACATTGAACTAACTCACTCTCCTACCATTCTCTCTTATTCCTCTTTCACTTTAACTTTCACTTCCACTCGTTAAGTAACAACACCTTCGTGTGTTAACACACCACCTCCATCACCGTCATGTCTACAACCTACACCATTCTCCTCTTCTTTTCACTACTACTCTTCTCCTTTGCAAATTCTTCATCTTCAGAACCACGCCGTGTCCTCCACCAACCACTCTTCCCAAGAATATCGCTTCCTCCAACGCAACCACCAACATCTTCTCCTCAACCACAACCCAAACAACAACAACCAAAGCTTCCATTTGCATCATCATCGTCGTCGTCGTCGCCATCACTCTCTTCACCTCCACACAAGTCATTCTTCCCTTCCTACCATTCTCCACCACTCCCTCCATCCCCAACTGTCCTCGCCACATTCCCCGCCAACATCTCCTCCCTTCTCCTCCCCCGCCCCTACACCCGCCACCACGGCCCTGCCGCCGCCGCCATCGCCCTCGCCGTCTCCCTCTCTCTACTCATTCTCTCCCTCGTCGTTGCTGCCGCCGCCTTCCTCCACCGCCGCCGCCGCAGACATCCCCTCCCCTCCGCCGCTGACAACGACGACGACAAGGCCTCTAGATCAGACAACCTCCGCTTGTTCCCTCCCAACACCGCCACCTCCGATGGCGCCGACCGGAAACCCCGCGTCAAGTCGAGCCCAACGTCGGAGCTACTCTACCTCGGCACGGTGGCGGGTTCGGAGAACACAACAGCAAAAGTTTCAAACTCGAGTTGCAGCAACAATGGCGGTTTTCGGCCACCGTACCAGAAACTCGGCGACTCGCCGGAGCTGAACCCGCTGCCGCCGCTTCCACGTTATAATTTCAGAGCTTGGGAGAGTGAAAACAAAATTGACGAAAGGAAGAAAGAAGAGGAAGAAGATAAAGAAAAAGAAGAAGAAGAAGACGAAGAGGAACAGTTTTTTTCTCCAAGAGGATCTTCTGGGCACAAGCAACAGAGTCCTCCTTCACCTTCTGCTCTTGCCTCTTCAAGTGCTCACGTTTTCCACGTCGATAAATTCGGTAGCAGAAGCTTCACCTCTAGAACCCCTTCTTACCCTCGTTCTAACTCTCTCTCTTGTTCCCCTTCTCTCAATGTCAGCCCCACAAGCACCAAATCGTTACCCCATCATAACCCCACTTCTTCTTTCTCTTCTTCCTCTTCTTCTCCCAAACCCAGAGAAGAATGGGATGTTTCAGCTCAGGGGAACAATTATTTGCCACCTCCTCCTCCGCCTCCGCCTCCGCCGCCGCGGTATTGGGAGGCTTCGGTGGTGGGTGGATTGGGTGAAGGTGTTGGTGTTAGGAGTGGGAATGAGGAGACACCGAAGCCGAAGTTGAAAGCTTTACACTGGGATAAAGTTAAGGCCAGCTCGGACAGGGTCATGGTTTGGGATCGCTTGAGACCAAGTTCTTTTCAGTAAGAAATTTTTTACTGTCATCGTTTAGCTTTGTCTTGCGTGTGTTATGTTGTTGGGATATTGTATTGTATTTCGTTTTGTTTTGTGTTTTTTTTTTTATTGTTGTTGTTGTTGTGTTTTATTTTAATGGAGCTGCGGTGCAGGTTGAACGAGGACATGATTGAGACACTTTTTATGGTGAATAATTCAAAGGAAAGTTCTTGTCTTGCTGCTCCTAGAGACAGTGCTCGCCGTCAAGTAATTCATTCCACATCTTTAATGCCACCGGAAAATAGGGTGCTTGACCCTAAGAAGTCTCAGAACATTGCCATTTTGCTTAGGGCACTAAATGTGACTATTGACGAAGTTTGTGAAGCCCTCAGGGAAGGTAATGATCTATTTTGCCTTCCATGCACTCAGCTTCTAGGAAAACAAAAAGGATGTCACAAATTAAAATACTGTTTTTATATCGCATGCCGAAGGATACGCTGTAAGAAATTAATTAATAGTAAGCTTTTATTAGAAATTGTAACATTTAATTTTATCAATGCATTAAATCTTCTGAAATTTTGTGATTTTTAATAAAAGCTTACTATAGATAATGTGTACTTGAGCACGAACCTCACGTTAGAAAAACTGTTTTTAATATACATACTGCCCTTCCTTGTGCTTTATTGACATTACGATTTTGAATTCTGTGATATAGAATTAACATTTATGTATATGTGCCTATTGTATTATTGCTTATGTATCCATGTTTGGCCCGAGCATGAAAGGAAAGAAGTAATCTCTGTTACCTGCGATGTATTTGCAATTGTACCATTCCAAACTTCATTATCTTTCACAGGACAGGATGTAACACTTCTGTAGTGTTCTTCAATCTTCATTAGTTGTCAACTCCTTATGATACAACATCAAACTTTCTCTTACTATATCTTGTCCTATTATCTCTCATAAGTAAGTTGAACAATAATACTGTCTATCTTCTTTCTCTTGTGGTAAGAGGCTCTATTTTTTTGTGAAATATTGAAGCTTCCTTTTGCTGTCTACAGGCAATTGTGATACACTGGGAACAGAACTTCTAGAAAGTTTACTAAAGATGGCTCCAACCAAAGATGAAGAATGTAAGCTGAAGAAGTTTCAGGACGAATCGCCCTTCAAGCTTGGCCCAGCTGAGAAATTTCTTAAAGTCGTGCTAGATATACCTTTTGCATTTAAGAGAGTGGATGCCATGCTCTACATTGCTAATTTTGATTCAGAATTAGAATACCTTAGGAAGTCCTTTGAAACTCTGGAGGTATATATATTCTTCTCCCAACTCTCTCAATCTGATCACTTTGCTTAATGCTTTTTCATTTTTGGGATATTATGAAACAAATTGACCTTTCAGTATCGATAGAGCTGAACATCAGCTAATAACTGCAACTTATTGTTCTATCTATCGGTAATCTCGTTTAATTGGTGAGAGAGTATGCGTAACTGCAACTTGACTGATTGTAATTTGTACCCATGTATTGCATGGCTCTAATATTTCATCCTTTTTACAGGTGGCTTGTGAGGAATTAAGGAATAGCAGAATGTTTTTGAAGATACTTGAAGCCGTGCTGAGAACAGGAAATCGAATGAATGTTGGCACTAATCGCGGTGATGCACATGCATTCAAACTGGACACACTTTTGAAGTTAGTTGATATCAAAGGAACAGATGGAAAGACTACACTCCTGCATTTCGTTGTACAGGAAATTGTCAGGACTGAGGGTTCTCATATTTCCGGTTCTAATAACCATCATACCTCTGAAAATGTCAACCAATTTACTCTTCAAGATGAAGTTGACTTTAGGAAGCTTGGACTGCAAGTTGTTTCGGGCTTGAGCGGGGAGCTCACCAATGTTAAAAAAGCTGCTGCTATGGATTCTGATATGCTCACCAGTGATGTTGCTAAACTTGCCAGAGGAATTGAGAAAGTTGTGCAAGTTGTGAAATTGAATGAGGAATCACCTTTGAAAGAAACTAACCAAAAATTTTCTGAGGCAATGAAAGGTTTCTTGGAGAGGGGAGAGCAAGAGATTTCTGAAGTCCAAGGCCAAGGGAAAAATGCTCTCTCTTCAGTAAAGGAGATAACTGAGTATTTCCATGGAAATTCAGCAAAGGAAGAGGCCCATCCATTTAGAATTTTTATGGTTGTGAGGGATTTCCTTTCAATACTAGATGGTGTTTGCAAAGAAGTTGGTAAAGTAAATGAGAGAACTTTGGTTGGTTCCCGTCAATATGTAATGCCTACGAATCCCGTACCACCAACCTTTTTCCCTGAGATTGTTACTAAGCATCCATCTGATTCCTCTGAATCTGATTAACCTCCCAAATCCGATCTGACCCAGTTGTAACAGGCTGAGGTAGTTTGCACATGTTTGGTCATTGATGGGTTAGATTTTTATCATACAAATATTATCATGTGATGTGGCATATTCACTCAAATACGACTGAGCTGAAGCCAAGGTTTACCCCTACCTATGATGATGAAAAGCTCATGCAATCGAAGCACTTCTTTTCCTGCCTAAAAAGCTCTGTATATGTTTTACTGCCAAGATTATATAATAAGTTTAGTACATTTTTTTTTCCTCCCTTGTATGCTAGGTGGGCTGCTGATCTATATTCGTTTTCATAAATGATCCACGACAGAAGTTTTGGATGTTTTTCTAAACTATGATGTAAATTCAGAATTGTGATTAGTGATTAAGAAGTTTAAGCTTGTACAGTAGTTGTGCAGGCACGTGGCACCATGATACAAGTTCAATATTAAATGTCTATAGTTCACGGAAAGAGGTCATATCTTTACCATGACTTTTCCAAGCAGAGAACATTAATGTAAAAATGAAAAAATATATGCATGCGTCCATTGCGTGTGTATATTTCATGAGATAAGAGGAAAGAGAAAAAAGTGAAATAGAATACGATAAGTAAAGCTATGTACCTGAAGGAGAAAGAAATGAAATAAGGTAAAAGAGGTGAAAATATTTCGTAAATGCATGAATATCATTGCTTAATAGTATCAAACAGATCCCTGATCTAGCTAGACTCCGATATTGTGAAATATAGGTTTGTCTAGAGTTTGGATTTTAGTGTATTCTGGCGACAGCGAGTGGTAATGCATCATATGCAAGTGTACAACTTGTCTCATAGCTAGTGGTAAGACTTTAGGCGTTTCTGACACATTATTTATCGTTGGAGGTGCTAAAATATGAGAACAAAAAATGTGGCATTTTTTAATATTGATTTCAGATATATGAGCATTGCGTTACCTTTAGGCAATGCCGTTAGTCTCTAATCCCCCTACTGAATCAAGAGAAGCTACTATCTTGTTAACTCAAACAGAATAAAGCATGCAACTCATATTCACTCTCTAGTTCAATCCACAACTAATGGCATGCCTTGGAATTGCAAATGAACATATTTTAAAATCACGGTTAATGCAGAAATTGCAAGTGGATCCGTGCTTGATTGGACATTAACCCATGATACTTCAGGTATATTCAAGAAAGTTCTTCGGACATTCTATCAGACATTTCTTTTCTCTATTTACTTGTTCTCCTTGATAACATGAAGATTACCATCTTTTTTAACCAAAGTCAAGTTCTCAGCATCCAAGCGTTCGAGAACCTTTCGTGCTTCCTCTTCTGTACCAGGAACAACATCTCGAATCCTCAACCCATTTTTAATGGCCTCAGGATCAACACCAAATGTGAAGTAGAATCTGTTAGAAACCTGCTTGAAGAACAAGCATAAAATGAAGTGAAATTGAGGCAGTTATTTTTTGTACTCTATCAAATCATATATACATAATCCGTTCGTATTAGCTTATTGTTTTCTCTCTGTGTCTGTGAAAAAATTATAAAAGATAACATTTTTGAGATATCTTTTCATTACTAAAATTTTGGGGTAGAAGGAAATTTACGTTCACCAAGAAATTTTAAGTATTATATTGGTATTCACCTCACTTGAGCGGAGCTCAGGCTTCGTGACATGTGCAACAACTTCCACATTCACCAGGGGCTCAGTTAGATTGTCAAGTTCCGTGTACAGAACACAAGACTTTAGCCGAAGATAATTTCCAACATCCACCTGCATCATCAAGTTGTTTTCAGTTGAATGTCCTCAATATCATTGTTCTTCTCTACTGATAACTACTGAATATTTCTACCCAGCCCATGTTCCAAAGTGATGATAATATGAAAGTATACAAAGAGAATCATTAGAAAAAGAAAATCACATAAAATAAGTAATAAGTTAGTGCTGATTTTAACATCAATACTGTGCAAGAAATTCGGTTCATTATTTATTGGAATAAATAGTGTCCTTGGTGGCTACTTACAGGTTTAAAGAAATCAACATGATCAACTTCTAAGAAATGAGGTGCTGCACCAGCAAAGGCATAAGCAGTTGTAAAGGCAAGTTCAAACGCTCTTCTCATCAAAAACCCCCCAAAGATACGACCATGGATGTTTCTTTGCTGTGGCTGGCAGATAAAAGAGTTTTGTAGGAAAGTATCTTTCATCAGAATGCTCTCTCTGTTGGCCAATGCTGGCATGTCACTGAAGATTCGCCCTTCAGCCAATAGTGCATTGAGTCTAGCAGTGTCTCCACTCTCTCCATGTTTTTGTTCTTCTTTCCTTTTTTTCCTAAATTTGTTCCTCTGTTCTGCTTCTTCCCAGAGCAATCTTTCTTGCTCACTTTCTGGTGAGATCTGGTTAATTGCCACTGCCTTTCCGGTGTCAGCATCACGAGCTACAAATGTGAAGTTAGCTACAAGTGCAGTTGAGTTTGAGATATTTGGATTCCCTGTCAGCAAGTTTCAGTGTCAGGTCAGGGACCAATAGGTACTATTCAGAATTGGGAGAATTAGGAGACATAACATTAAAAAGGTATGATTTGTGCTTATAAAACTCAAACATCATGAAGGGCTTTTAATCAATTTTTATATGTTGTTGATATTGTTACTTACTAGTCAATTGAACTAAATTATTACTTACTAGTAAATTGAACTATATTAGGAGACAAGGAGATCAATCCAGTATAAACTGAAAATGCTCAACTACTGTCCATTCCATTACTGGAATTTGATTTTCCATCATACTGTTTCTTTCTATTTTATTTTCAGCAAGCTTTATAAGTTTGTAAGAATAGTAAGCCACAATGTCCACACAGGACAGCGTACTAGGGTGAGGAATTTAATAGACACGAATCTGTAATAAACATTTACCTCTATGCAGGGATTGCACCACCAATATGGAAAAAAATTATAACCAAACTCTGATGTTTCAGATTAACTATTTACTAGCAGTGCACACACATCCAACTATTTTATACTATTGATTAGGTCCGTGGTGTAAGCCATATTTATAGTGACAAAAAATGCCAATGTTTATTTAGGGATCAAATTATGAAGCTGTTGATGACTTGATGTTCTTACATATTGTATTCTTACAATACCACACTTTGATAACCAATACATGCTGCATTGAAAGAAATCATGGACACACCCAAAGAAAATTATGTAAAATTCATGACACCCAATACATGTATTTATAGAATCATACAGATAGCCGTAGTTACTAATTAGTAGCTAATGTATTTTAGTTGTAAGTGAATAATTGCTGCAACTGAATTGTTGTGAGTTTAGTGTGTGTATAGGTTAGCCAGCTGTAGGCAAATACTAGCTCTCACTACCTTTGCTCTATAAGTAGAAGCTGTATTCTCTTGTGTCAGATTATCTAATTCAATCATAATGGAAGCTAACCCGAACGCTATGCTATATTTCCATCGCTATCATGTGTTCCCCTTATCAAGTTTTTTTGAATCCTAATATGCATTCAGTAACATATCATCTGGTCTACAGTTACCAAATACGTGGTACATGCAGTTTTGTCATTTTTTACGTTATTATTACTAGACCTCCTTTAAATAAAACCTGATATGCAGAACATGATACAGTGAATTTGATATGCAGTACGCAGGGTCATTTAGAGTTCTGTATATATATTCTGTCTGCTTCTAACTTCTAAGCAATTAATGACTAGTATAATCAGAATAGAAACCATAATCCCACATAAAAACAGTGGTTAAAGAAAGCAAAATCAACTTGTACTAATCCTTTAGTACCTCCTGCCGACTGAGTCAATTCGAGTTGAATCTCCATGGATGACCGGCCAACCCAGGTAACAGCACCAACAATGGTGAAATCAGCATCAATATGAATTGGTTTCTTAAGAACCATCTTGTCCACGGAAGCAGTGACTAATAGAAGAGGCCTTGTTGTGCCATCTTCATTACAGCAGTGCTGTTCAAAACAGAGGAAATAAACTTCAATATCCAAAACTCACAAATACAAAAAATGAGCAAACATTCATATTATTCCTTGTGATGGTATAAGTTAGACATTTTAATCTTGAATTTTAAAAATCTGTCATTAGTTCCTGCCTTTGTAAAACCATACTTCCTCCATCTCAAAAACAATCGCTTAAGATTGTGGCATAAGAATTAATAAATGTATTTAATTATCTTGTTATTAAAAGTATCATGAAATTTCTTATTATATCCGTTTTGGAATTTGTTTATAGAATAAATGAATAAAGTGAAGATAAATATGAGTTTTGAGATAATAATTATTTTAAGGATAAAATTGGAAAAAATAATTAATTCTTGAAATTGTAAAGTGACTTGAGAAAAACCAAATTGGCTAAACAGACTGCTTTTTCAGAGAATGTGGGAGTATTTACCTTAGTCTTTTTTAATACATAGCGACAGTGGAAAGTAAAGTTAAAAAAAAAAAAAGACAGACCAAAATGAATGATTTTTCTTTTTTATCAAGCAAGAGACTAACATATTAAAATGTCTGAGTCATGTAATCTCAAGGATCTCAGGGCTTACTCTACAAAAAAAAATCTTCTCGAGTACTGTAAGCCGTTACACACACAACAATTAATGAACTTTACAACTAGCAGAACAAAGGAGAAAAAAAAGAAGAACTTGGTATCAGTTTCATTGAAATAATCAAAACCCAATATTTATAAGCACGAAATAAACAAAACCCAGAATTTAATTTGAGAAAAAAGGAGACCTTGAATGCAATGGTTCCAGCTAGAGCATCAAAATCCTCAACGAGCTTGCCCATCCTAATGTGATTCCAAGGGTTCCTATACTGCTCGCGAAGTATGTAGTCAGAAGAGAAGTTGTAAAAGATACTAGTCCTGCTCTGGGAGGGAGTTTTGGGATCTGAGGGGCCATAACCATTGCCATTGGGACGAATGGAGGCTCTGGCTTCCCATAGAGCGTGTATGGCAGGGGAATGGAACCTCCCTGGCCATAAACAAACGGGTTTGCGGTTAGAAGAACCTGCATCGATAGGAACAGATGTTGTTGGGTCTGTGGAATCAGTGGTCACGTGTTTCAACGGTTGTTGCAGTGATGGGAATGGATGAGAAGAATTGGGTGTGATTCTGAATCTGAAAAGATTGTGGAACAGTAAGAGACATCGTTTTGGCTTTATGATTGGATGCATTGCATTGCATGGCATGGAAATGATGGTGTTGTCTGAAATCTGAGGGTAGTTTTAATTGTTAATTCCCCCAAAGTTGGAGGCAGCAACGAAATGATCAGCTACCGTAAGTTTTGCGTTGTTATATGAAATGCTTTGAATCGAGTACCTAACTAGAAAATCACATACGAGGAGATGATCTCTGGTCGACTTTTCCCATGTAGTTTGATCCGATACAGAGGCTGGTCCATTAGGCCTGACAAAGATTTTTTGTTGAGCTGATTTGGCCCAATTAAAAAGAATCTCAAATTCAATTTGTAGGGAGATCTCGTTTGACATGAGAAGTTTAACACGCTTGACAGAAAAAGAACAAATCTTTTTGAAAAATAGATTCATTTTTTTATATCAAAATTACGTAAATCTTTTCGCGAAGTAAATCATGTTTGAGTTTGAGCTGAGTAAAACACTATCAATGATGAAGTTATTTTTTTAACTATTTAATTAAGCTACATATAATGAAATTCAAATTAAAGACTACAAGAAAAAAAAGAGAGATTGTAAATTTTAGAAAATATTTTTTATTTCATTTTTAAATATAAAAATGCCACATAATTTTTATTTAGTTTCCTGTTTTTAAAGACTTATAAAAGGTAATAAAATTATTATTATTTCCTGTACAAATATTTAAAAATAAAAAATAAAATATATGGAACTTTATAATTAAAAATACGCATAAAATAAAAAAAAAAAAAAATTTCTTGAAACCAAATATCTCCTAATCTAGCCTCTCCGTGATAAAAAGGGTTAATTTTTAAGTTATCTAATTAACTTCAAAGTTTATTTATCTTAAATAGAGTTGTTCGACAAAGGAGTTTATTTTTCTTGTGAAATTTTTAAAAAAATTATTTCATGTAACGTTTAAATTTATTAGCTCTTAATTTATTAATATATTTTTTACATTTTTATACTTACTATCTTATTATAAATTTTTCTTTACTTTTCTTATATATAGAAATCCTTATCACTCATAAATTATAATTTATTTATAATATAAAATGATCAAATATCATTTATACTATCTGGAGACAAAAGTTCAGTATCTTTGTTGAGGTTGTAACTCAGATAAAGTAAGGTGTTATCTATAACTATAGCAATTATGAAATTAAAATAGATTTACTGTTCATCCAGTGAAGAGAGAAGCAACAACAGTAATGTGAACAAAGGAAAATCAGACGCAAGAAGATGTCTAGTTGTTTACATTCACGTGCTGCCAGCCATCAGTCTAAAGTGGAAAATTTGAATAATGGAATGGGACCATACAACTTCTAAGGACATGAAATAAATGGTGCCATACGGTTCAGAGCTTGGAAAAATTCTTCCACTCCATTATTGGTGGTCATCATTATTATCTATATCTAAACTCTTTTCTTCCCTAGCTAGTTACCATTATCCTCACACCTCTCCACAATGCTCAAAGAAACCTTCATCTTCCTTGCACTTGTTTTATTACTATACAAATATGTTCCTATTCTCTACTTGGAGATAACCTTACCCTCCCTATACACTGACTCTTGTGGACTCATATTCAATACACCCTCAAACACAGGCCTTCTAGGTCGCACCTGCAATGATCCCAGTTATGAACTTGTTTGTGAGGCTAACAAAACAGTGTTGTACTTAAACTTTGGTAGACACTTCATCCATGCCATTACCACTACACCCAATAATGCCACCCTTCAATCAATGACTGGTGGACTTGACAACAATAATTGCTCCACAGTCACTCTTGCTCTTCTCACATACACTAACTTCACCAAATATAGTTCTGAACAAGAAAGTAAACTAGCCATTGACACTAACGTATATTATAGCGATGATTTAATATTCGTTAGCTGTGAGAACCCAATTAGTTCATTTTTATACACTGATATTTCTACTCCTTGTACAACACAGAGTAAGAGGGGTTATTATTCTTACGTTTTGCTTTGGGAGGCTGAAGTATGGGATGTGTTTGAGTCATGTAGCGTTGACATGATGATAAGGATGTTACCATGGGGACCCGTGACATGCAATGAGAAGTGTTCTTATCCAGAGAACATGCAGAATGAGGTGAAGGGGATTCAAATAAAGTGGCGAGCTAACCGCTGTGGAGAGTGGGATGGTGGAGATGGCACTTCTTGCTTCTTGGATAACACAACTAACATGGTCTTCTGCAATTCCAAAGCAGGGTTTTTTTCAAGTGTTTCAAGTGAGTTTGCAACAATTTTAATTGCTTTAATTTACAAGGAAAAGTAGAATATGTTTTTTTCAATTAAATAAAGGGAAGTAAGTAACTCTTGTGAAGAGAGTTTCACTCATTTCCTAGACTTAAATGGGAACTTGGGAAGTCTTCTTTCACTTCTCTTCCCTTAATTCACTTGGTCTTCCATTCTAAAAAACAATTGCAACTTGCAAACATAGCAAAAATTATTGTTCTTTACTTCTTTCTGTTGTTCTGACAGTTTTTTTTTTTTGGTAACACAGACTTTCTGACAGCGGGGATCAATGGTAAGCATCTAAATCTAATCATCATAAACCAAAAGTAGTTGATCGATGTTTGGCTGTTATATTGCTTCTTTTTTTTTTTTTTTTTTCTCAAATCTAAACTAGGAAACTCATCAGTATTTATACTCCAAAGTTTTCAATTTCTAGTCAGTTTCATCATGAATGTGTTTGGTTAGAAAATTGACAAGATCAACCAAGTTACAGTACTCATTGTCAATTTTCCCTTTTGATTACATTGTGCATTCATTCCTTTTTCCTGATCGTACTTATCTCTCTCTGAACTAAACGTAAATCATCTCTACAAGTCTAGAGTAGATCTTGCTTGATCAGATAATATGCGATGGGTGCCTTTTCTTAACTACATGCATTTTCTAATTAATAATTTTGGTGGTTGTTTGTCATGTCCTGACAACTCTGTCCTCCTTCCTTGTGTTTATACTTTCAGCAGGAGTCATGATTATGCCAACTTATAGCTGTAAGATCTCTAGTTACCTTCCCCTATATATGCATTTTAAAGTTTGCGTTAATTATTTTCTAAATTAAGCTTTCAATTTATAAATCTTAATAAGTAAAAATATAAATTGTTGTTAGTGCTCATGCTCAAATCTTGTACACAGTACTCTTATGGTTTGCAGTAAAATTTGCATTGGGTCCCCCATTTGTGGTTGCATTCTTGATTTATAAATGGAAGAGGAGGGATCAATTTGTGTGTGATGAGGTTGAAGATTACCTCCAAAATCATAGTAATCTAATACCCATCAAGTACTCTTACTCTGAGATAAAGAAAATGACCAAAGGTTTCAAGCACAAGTTAGGTGAAGGAGGCTATGGCTATGTTTATAAAGGAAAGCTTAGAAGTAAGCGTGATGTTGCTGTCAAATTATTAGGCAAGTCCAAACCAGATGACCCACAATTCATAAGTGAAGTTGCTACAATTGGAAAGATTCGTCACATCAATGTGGTGCAATTACTTGGATTTTGTGCAGAACGAACTAAGAGGGCTCTTGTTTATGAGTACATGCCTAACGGTTCTCTTGACAAGCACATACTTTCACAAGAAGAAGGGAATGCATCAATAGGCTATGAGAAAATACATAATATTTCTCTAGGAGTGGCTCGCGGAATAAAATACTTACATGAAGGTTGTGACATGCAAATTCTACATTTTGATATCAAACCTCACAACATTCTTCTTGATGAGAACTTTAATCCAAAGATCTCAGACTTTGGACTAGCAAAGTTATATCCAATAGATGGTACCAATGTAACTCTATCAGTGGCAAGAGGAACAATGGGATACATGGCACCTGAATTGCTCTATAAGAACATTGGAGGGATATCATATAAGGCTGATGTTTATAGCTTTGGGATGCTATTGATGGAAATGGCAGGGAGAAGAAAGAACTTGAATGCTATGGAGTATTCTTGGCAGACTTACTTTGCTAAATGGGTTTATGATCAATTTGATGAAACCATAGATCTTAGTAATGCGACCGATGAGGAAAAAGTGATAGCAAAGAAGATGATATTAATAGCTTTACGTTGCATACAAATGAAGCCAAATGATCGTCCTTCAATGAATGAAGTAATAGAAATGCTTGAAGGAGAGTGTGATGTTAATGCCATATGAACCTCTGCTTACTTTGTAAAGGATGTCAAGATTATGGTCATCCCAACTCTAGTTTCTCATGAAAAATTACTAATTTTTATATTTATTCTTTATCCATTTTTTAATCTTTCTTTTCCTATCATATCATTCATTACAATTTTTTTTAAAAAAAAGTTTTTCTCCCTCTCTCTCTCTCTTTCCGGTTCTATCTTTCTCTTTGATCATCCGTTTAATACCCAAAAATTGACTATGAACCTATAGTTTTCAAAAGCAATAGATAGAAGTTGCAAGTCTAATAGCACCTACTTATAATTTGCATGCGTGCACTCACAAAAGCTTCCATACTATGAATGAGTAAAATTTTGTACATCACCATATACATTTCTTTTGAGTACTACATAATTTCAATCTCAAAAATTATATACACATGTTAATTTAGTCCGTAAAATTATAAAAACAACTTTTAGTCCTTAAAATTATTAAAAATTATTTATTTAAGTCCTTGACATCATAAAATAAGTTATTTTAGTCCTTGAAATTATAAAATAAATTATTTTACTCAATAAAATTATATCTATCAATTTATTTTTAAAATTATTAAAAATAGATTGTTTTTATTCATAAAATTAGTCAATTTAGAATTTGAAATTATGAAAAAAATAGTTCATGAAATTATAAACATAATTTAATTTACTCCTCCAATGTCATTCAATTTAGTTCTTCAAATTATGAAACACAATTTTTAATTCCTAAAATTATAAGAAAAAAGAACTTAGTCCCTTGGAGTTTTAAAAAATTTACATGTGTCCATGTTATTAAATAACACAATTTTATTCTATGAAAAAAATTTAAAAATAATATGAAATAATGTGTTCCTAACTTGGGCTTCCTCTTTCACTTCAACTTCATTATAAAATTTATTTTCATATGGGACAGTTATTTTCTATCTACTAAAAAAATTATTTCATAATTTTAGTGATAAAATTGATAGGTGCATATAATTGAAACTAAAATGATTAATTTTTTTTTATAATTGTAGAAATAATTTTTTTATAATTTTAGAGACTAAATTAATAAATATCTATATTTTAAGGCCTAAAATATCTGATTTTATAAATTTATGGTCTAAAATGTGTGATTTAATAATTTGAAGTACTGGAATGACCATTTTCTAATAACTTTAGAGACTATATAGAAAGATATTTATAATGTTAGAGAATAGAATGACTAATTACATAATTTAAGGACTAAGATGATTAGTTTTAATAATTTCAAGGACTACAAATTCTATTTTATAATTTTATGAACCATATTGATGGGTGTTTATAATTTTTGAGGATTAAAATGTTATTACTCGATTTTTTTTTATCTCCTTTGCCGTATTTATCATTTTTCCTTTTTTCTTTTCCAAGGTATATACACTTAAATGATGTGAAAAAATCTTATTTATTTTTTTTGTAAATAATAATATTATAAATTTATTGCTTGAATAAATGAACCATTTTTCTTGGCACAAAATTAATAGGAATTAGGAAGCAGGCGTTACCCAAAATCTTTAGCAGAAAAAGTGTCACCGAGACACTGAAGAAATGAATGGTTTTAAGGAAATTTAAACTCGCTATTTAGACCTATGTTTTAATTACATTTAATTATGTTAATTTGATTAAAATTAATTGTAATAAACTCTAAACTAATTGAACACGAAATATAGGAAATTTTGTCCCGATCTTTTGACTATTAATGTCAACTTGTATTGATGAGTGAGTAAATATAATTAAAAATTACTTACCAAGCAAGTAATTTTGATAAGTAATAAATATAATTAAAAATTACTTATCGAAGAAGTAGAACAGTGCAGTTAAGATGTGTAAATGCAATGCAGCAATTGAAGATGAGAATAAGAACAGTGATTTAATGATAATTGTGTCAACTAATTAATATCTTAAACAAACGGAAAATCCACTGATATGCATTATGGAATAATCAAATAGCAATAATTAACAAAAGTACTTCCCTTGTTCCAACCTTCACAACATTCTTCTTTATGACTATCCAATAATCACCACGTCGTCAATGTTTGGGATGGAAAAATTTATAGAAATGTGAATCAAAATAATTAAATTAAAAGTAAAGTTTATGTATTTTTAATGAATTTTAATAATAAAAATATATTTAAAAGAGTATATCAAAATATGTTCTATTCTAAAATATGATTTACTACCTCATTCACATGTTCACTTTTAACAAAACAATATTAGAACCCCACCATCGAGTAAAAGATAATCATAACCATGAAGATTGATTATACATATATAATATAATTTCGGGGTCATTTTTTTATATAAGAAAAAATAAAAAATTACTAAAATATGATTTTTTGAGAAAAATTACGAAAATATATAATTTAAAAACATTATCATGGGTGATTTCTAATTAAAATTTTTTATTTGACAATTTTTAAATTTTTTTATATCGTCATAGTAATTTTTGATTTTTTAATATTTTTTAAAAATCATATCAATTTTTAAAATTTGGTAATTTTTCATTATTTTATCACTATCTACTAGAAAATAGTTAATAGCAATTTTTAAAAAATATTATATAAAAAATTATTCCTATATTTCCGTTTATTTATAAATTTATTCAAACTGTAGTTTAGTCCACTTAAATGCTTGGACGTGTATTTTCAGTGGACTTCCTATTGATAAAAAAAAAAGTGTTAATAAAATAAAAGGTTGGCAATGTAGGGAAATATTAAAAAATAAAGTGAATATTTATTTTAATTGTTTAAATTATAAACGTGGATTATTTTTATTATTAATTTTACTAAAATTTTAATTTAACCTTTAATTGTATAAAATGATAATAAAAATAAAGTAAATAAATGAGTAATTTTAAAAAAAAAATTAAAACTAAAATAAGGTTTGTATAAAATGAAAAATGAAATTGAAGAGTGCATCTGATGCAATAATGTTTTCCTTTTGGCAACATGTTAAATTGCAATAGAACTGGGCATGAAAATTCAAAGTTGATTTAAACTGCAATTATTATTTCTGGGCTTTTAATTAAGCATATGGATTAGTTACTTATATTTTGAAATAAGTGGGGATTTGGTGGAATGTCAAAATCAATGTGTGGTGTAAGCATTTATTTATGTTGCAATGAACTTAATAATATAAGTTGTTTCCAATTTTTCATATACTTATATTTTGTTACATTCGACACCTTATGAGTCTTAGAAAATAACATCTTCCAAAGTCAAAATGCCCCAAAATCTTCAACCTCTCGTTTCAAAAAGGGACGCTTCTCCATCTCCAACAAAAAAAAAACAGACCCAACACAATCAACTACTGAATATTATTAAATTAAAAATATAATAAATAAAATATTACTTTCGTTAGTCCTTCAAAATATTTCTATAATTAATACTAAACATTTTGAAAGATATAATATTTTCCAAACTGCACGTGCCAAATGTAACAGACTTCCAAGAATGGCACTTTTCTTTATGACGAGAATATACTTTGCTAATTCAAATTAAACTTATATTTCTAAGAGATTCCATGTCTGATTGAGTTGCATCATTCAAAGTCTTATAAATATAATTAAAATACACTTATAAACAATATTATGGCAAGTTTAAGAATTCTTTAATTTAATCTGAATAGAAATAAATTATAAGTGTGTAAAAGTTTTTAAATTTATATCAGGACGAGAGAAATTTATTATTATGAAAAATAAAAGATATTAATAATAATTATTAAATTAAAATGAATAGTTTAAATTTGATATTATTATTTTATTATTTACTATTTTTTATTAATGACTATTATTAATATCTCGCTTAAAATGTCTCCTTTGTATTTATTTAATCTTTTTTTCTCTATTTTAGATTTAATTATTATATGAATTTCCATGGAAATGTTGAGCACAGGTTGCTTCGTCAGCACCTTCTCATCCTAGTTCTTGTGATTCTTTTGGTTAAAAAGTAGAAACATTGAAGTAAGCATGTAATAACAATTGTACTGTCCAGATGCAATGTATGTGAGAAGGAAAATATTACCTTTAGGAAATATTTTTATTTTTCATATAACTCACTTGCCTTATTTCAACACTGTTTATTTTCTTTCTTTTTCTTTTACACTTCACATTTTCTCATGTGCATTTATGAATTGCATCTTAAGTGTAATATATTACTCTTTCAAGTAATGCACTCATAAAGGAAAAGATATTAAAAAAAAAACACTCATAACAATCTGGCCAGTCATTAAAAATTAATATCAATTTAGTTCTTAAATAATAACAAATGAAATTAATTAGTGGTACAGTAAAAGAAAATAGATATTTATTTATACTCTTAATAAAAAAATATTCTTTAATGTCATAATTTGCACACAAAAATGATGATTTTGTGCCATTTTTTTTTTAAACTAAAGAACTAAATTGATGTGACCTGCATTTTAGAACAAGTGATGTAATATGATTTTTTAAGAACTAATGTTTTCTCTTTCAATGAATTTTATGCAGTTGTTAATATAGTCAAATTTATCAAATAATACCTATCGATACAAAATTCCTAATTTAAAATAAAAACATTTTACGATTGATGTGGATCAAATGAAACTACATAAACAACATTTTTTCTTGTTAAATATTTTTATAAAATAAAAAAAAGAAAATCAAACTTTTTTAACATATTACATTTATTTATTCTTATTATTTTAAAATCCTCTTATTTTTGGAAGGACTTAAAATTTTTAAATAATAATAAAATGTTATTTAATTTATCTTTTTTTTTTTTTTATTTTAGGGTTGACCATATTTTCTTTCCTTCTTCTCGTAACATCCAAATATGTACGCAGCCGCCACTAGCAAACTTAACTTTTAAGAGATTAAATAGAACAATACAAAGCATATAAGTTTTAAGGTTAATTTTGATTTACTGTTAGAATAAAAATTATATTATCAGTCAATTAAAATATATTATAAAATTAATTTTTAAACTAATTATTGTAAAAAACATGATATTTAATAATTTTTATATTAACAATATATTTTAATTAAGTTATAAATTAAAAAATATTATTTAATAATATAATAAAGTAAGAAAAAAGTGCTTCCACCAAATTTAAGGAGACTTTTAAAAAAATTAAAATTTGTAAACATATGAAGGATTACTTTTATTATAAAATAATTCTTCAAATTAAAAATTAAATTATGACAATATATCACTTGGTAGGAAAAGGTTAAGAATAAGATATTTATATGCTTATTACATATTTGACTCAGTAAAATTTTTTAGTCAACTTTTCAAAAATAAGAGGAAAAATATATTAAATTACTTGTTAGAAGTTTATAGCTTAACTCATGTTACATTTATTTATTAAATAAGTTAAATTAAATTTGAAAAAAGCCCTTTTTAAACTCTGTTTTTTAAAGGACGTTTTTAGATATTTTTTAAAGTAGTATTTTTAAGATACACATAAAAAAAAAAGAAATTCAATCAGTAGTACAATTACTTTATTTATTACGTGAAGGATAATTTAAGCCTTACACGCCTCTAAATCCAAAGCAACAAGAAAAGTAAAGAAAAAAATAATAATATTAAACCTTATGGGTTGGTTTCCACTTCTAAGGATTCTGTAGTAACCGGATATTAGTATTGATGTATTACTATTACACATTGACTTTAATAATGATCAGTGAGCCCTATATAAATATTTAGTCAACATTACAGCAATGTTTCTCCTCCATACATTACACATATCAGCTCAAGATCATAATTCATAGCCCACTGGTGATCTTCTTATGTGAATTCTACAAGCACCTTGTCTCTTCTCAGTACTTTCATTGAAATCAAAGTCAGAATCAAGTGTCACTTCCAAAAATTCTTTAGCCTTTTTGGTCCTTTGGCACCTAGAAATGTTAGAATTCAAAAACATGAAGAAGAAAGTGTGGATGTTTTCACACTGATCTCCCCCTTTAACCCCTCAACCTTCTTCCCTTGCGTAATGGAAGTTATGACCAGCACCATCAACAAACAAAGCAAAGTAGCAGGATCACAAGGAGTCAACATCCACATCCAAAAGCTTTCATTTTGGTTCGCACCCCCTACTCGTCCACCTGGTTTTCTTCTTCTGTTTCTTGTGTAGTTTCATCTCGTTACAAGGTTTAGGACTATGGTTTACTCCTTTTATGATAAAAGCTCTTCTTCTGGCTCTGATGTTTCGGGGTTGTTTCATCCCACTTTTCATAACCTCGGAGCTTCCAATGATGTTTCACGAGGTGGGTTGTCATCACAACATTCTTTGGATTTTGAGAGTGAGAAGGGTGAGATGGTGAAGTGCCCTTCAAGTGAGAAGGTAGGAAAGAATGATGTTTCTGAGGCCAAAGCTTTAGCTGCTTTGAAGAGTCATAGTGAAGCAGAGAGGAGGAGGAGGGAGAGAATAAATGGTCATCTTGCAACACTACGTGGCCTTGTTCCCTCCACTGAAAAGGTGTGTTTTTATTCCTTCTGTTGGAAACTTGTTCATTTGTTGTGGATGGTTTGTAATAGCTTTATATTCTTTTGGCCTTCTAGTTTTGTGATTTCACTTTGATTGTATAAATGGTTTAGCATGTTCATCTAAATATGAATTTTATATAATTGCTGTACCTGAAAGTTTGTGATCAAAATGGAATTTCTGATTAGCATTTCTTAATTTTGTTATCTAGCCAGTTTTTGCATAAGAATCAAGACAATGTTTTTGTAAAATGCATAATCTGTTGGTGATAAGACAAGGAAATGATGGATTTGATGGAAAGCTGAAACTTGGTGAGAAACATTATAGCCTTTGTTTTTTGGGTGAATCAATTTAAGTTTGAAAAGAGATGACAACCATTAGGCAGAGCTGAGAATAAAAGATTTTTTTTTTTTTATGATTTGAAAATAAAATTTTGGGTAAGAAAAACATATATTAAGTTATCAATTAAGGCGGCTTGACATTAAAAATTCTGACTTTGACATTGGTTTCCAGTTTTATGCAGAGTGTTCAGTTATGATAATTTTATTCAGTTATGTCGTAATGCTTATGGCTGTAAATGTATATTTCCTTTTCTTGCTTTACAATAATTTTGAAAAAAGAATAAAGGTCAGAGTGTAGCATATACTATAAACACAAGTTTTGAGATTTGAAGCACATAATTGTAATTATTATTGTTATTAAATAAAGGGCTTTCGATTGCATCATAGTTGTCCTTGTATGGTCAACTAGGTGTGGGAGTTGCTACTTGCTAGAGTCAACTGCCAAGATGCATCACTTGCTTATGTAATGTGGAATTATTTATTATGTATGACATACATCCTCATACATGATCATAATATTTTTTTGTATGATTTCATCTTTTATAATCCCAAACTGGAAATCCTTCATTTATTATTCAATAAATTAAATACATGTAAGACAGGTGTTTCCTCCTTGTGACCCCACATCAATAGCTGAATATTACTGGCTGTGGATTATTCTACTGTTTATTGTTCCTTTCATTGTGTAGGCTGTCCAAATATAGCTTCTGCTATTAATAATGTAGGCAGCCAATGCGGTTTTGGTTTTGATTTTCCTTGATAAAGTCATATGAACCAAATTATAAAATTAAGCACTATAGAATGTCATTTTGGACTAGTTATTTTAATTTGATGGTCTTTATCTAAGGATAAAAAAAGGAGCATAAATGTTATCTGTAGAATCAGATTGATTAAGATATTCCTATCAAGTGTTGTTGTAGACGTGCCAGCTGTTCTTCTGGGTGGCATATGACAGAGTCAGTTTCTTTAGGCATTATGTGATAGTATGTGGTGGCTTCCATGTTTTTGTCTTGTTTTCTTGTACAGCCATCTTATGTTTGTTGCTAACTGATTATGGTGATGTGGGACAAGGAAAACCATCATAAGTTTTAAGCATTGGATGATAAAAAATGGTTAGTGATTAGACTTTAATTCCATGTGTTATCTTCTTTATTCCTTAGTAATCCCTTAGTATAATCAAGTAATCAACTACCTTTATTAATTAAATTATTGGGTTCAGCCTCTGCTGTAATGGAGTTATAGAGCTGCTTCAGTTATCGATATCAAAGGCTCAATCAACTTGAATTACCACCCTAATAAGAAGTCAAGTTGACAGCTAGTGGCAGTAATTAATTCATAAGGTTATTGTTCTTGTAATTAAAAAATGAAGAAGAAGTAGTACAGTTTATTCTAAGAGAAAATTGATGCTACTTTTTGTTTAGTATCCTCTCTTTTCTTTAATAAAACATTTGTTAAAATATGATGTTGTGGGTCGATTGTTACTCTTCAGATGGATAAAGCCACTTTACTGGCTGAAGTTATTAGCCAAGTGAATGAATTGAAGAAAAATGCAGTGGAAGCAAGCAAGGGTTTTCTAATCCCAATGGATGCTGATGAAGTGAAAGTTGAACCCTATGATGAAGGAGGAGACGGATCCATGTCTTACAGTGCAACCATATGCTGTGATTTCAGACCTGAGATACTATCTGATCTAAGACAAACACTTGATGCCCTTCAACTACATCTTGTGAGGGCAGAAATTTCTACTTTGGCAGGTAGAATGAAGAATATATTTGTCTTTACATGTTGCAAAAGGGACAATAGTAATAATATTGAGGCATGCCAAGCTCTAGCAGGTAATGTTCAACAGGCACTATGCTCTGTACTGGATAAAGCTTCTAGCTCACTGGAGTTCTCACTCAGAACATCACATCCAAGCAAGAGGAGAAGACTATGCTTTATTGAAACATCCACTTCCTCATGCAACCATGAATCTTGTTCGTGCTGACTGCAACCATTTGTTGTGTGATGTTATGCTATATATTTCTATATATAACTGTTGGAATTGTGTTATTAGCACTTTTCATTTTTTGAAGAATGCTAGTACACACTTTTCTAGTACACTCTAGCTCATTTTCTACTGTTGGAATTGGAACACTAAATATAGATCTCACTAGATAATAAATGAGGTTTGTTAAGTAGGATATGTGGCACACATTATTTAGTGGGAGCCCATTTTACCATTAATCGGAAGTGTGTTGAAAAAGAGTTTGTTAGAGAATTATTATTAGCATTTATCATTTTTGCGAAGCTGGATTTGTCTTTTATTCTGCAGGCAAATCATAATGTTATAGAATTTCAAGAAGGGCTTATGTTGAAGCTGTTGTTACTGAGTATGTTTACGGATCAATTGGAGATTTGTGGGGTTTCCATTGTGTTGGACATGATGCAATGGGTACAGATTGTGAATGAATGAATATATATATATATATATATATATATATATAATTTATTACAAATTACATGCAATTGAACTTTGGATGAACATGGGATAGCTCATGTATCAGATGAACTCATCTTTCACTCCATCACCCTAGTCCTGCATAGCTTTTTTTATGCAAATTATCATTTTATTCAACATAGAAAAAACCCAAAAAGCAAGTGGAAATATTTTTCTTTTAAGTGAAAATAAGTTTATTTAATAATTTTAAATTTCATTTACTCTCAAAGTTCTTTTTTTTTTAACTATTAACAAATAGTAGCTGAGAGATGCTTCGTACGGAATCTATTTTATGCAATTATTTTTATTATCTTCGAAATGAAGTGAACTGATAACACAATTTATTAAATTTGAGAATTTATTAATTTTGTTCCTTTCCATATTTTTATAAGTGGAATATTTTATTTTGGGAGTTTATTAACATAAGTAAGCTTAATTTTTTGAAAGAATATGTAATATAACAAAATTCAGATTATAAAACCTTTCATGCTTTAATTAATCAAGTTTGCTGATAGGAACATATTAGTAATTTAATTGAAATTAAAATTAAAATTAAAAAACAAACAAAACTTTCTCTCTCCTCTTTTCACTCACCACCTAAGATTATGATGCTTAGACATTATTTTATTTTATCATTTTTATAAAACTATTTCTTGGATATTTAAAGTGGAATTTTTTTTCGATATCTTTAATTTTAGGAAACAGATTTTAGATAATGTATGTAAAAAATTAAATAATTATATACAATATCTTATATGATATTGATTTTTAAATATTTAAATAATAAATCTCTTTTTTATGCCTTCTCTCCCATGAACATCGTTATTGTATTGAATCAAGTAATATATTTACCTGTAAAATTGCGTTGGCTAGTCTAAACTTTGACAAGGCTACATCAAGAAGATCAGTGGCTAACACCATGAACCGCAAACTGAGGTAACCAGTGAACAAAGATATTAAATGTTAGTACAGAAGTGCATATTTCAAGGCTATTAAACACATTTTCTTAAATATTACCAGTGTTTTATTTATCTATTTTTATTTATTGAAAAAAGATGAAATTTATTTCTATTTATTTTTTAATTATTCAATATATATTTAAGGATGTATAAAAAATTAATAAATAATAATTTTTTATTCAAAATATAATATTTAATGTTATCAATATAGTTGTATTTTTATTAGATTAAAATTCAACAGCAAGGTTGGTTTGCATGTACTATGGGCTTCCCCTGTTTTGTCAGGTATCCTCATTTCATTGTCTCATTGCATAACTTTGTAATCCTCTGTTGTCTGTGTGTGTGTCACAAACACAAACAAAATACCAAAAGAAGGAACAATACCTCTCTTGTGTGTCCCCCCTCAAAACCCAACAACATGTGTTCTTCTTCATCACGTTTCCACCCTCCCATCAATTTGACTCATAAAAAAGCTAAGCAGAATGCAACAAAAACAGCAACAACTACAAGTTAGAGTATCTTGAAAGAGTGCAATGAAGGGGATGGAGAAGCATAGCAATGACAAGGAGGAGTGTGTGATGCTGTTGCAAAGCTGTGTGAAGAAGCTTCACTGTGGAAGTTGGGAAGATAAAGAAGTGGCAGCAAAGGTGGTTGAAACCTTGGTTAAAGAAGATATGAAGGTAAGAGAGTTAACAACTGAACTTGGGGTGGTGCCAGTGTTGGTATCTATGGCAGTTTCCGACGTGGCTAGCCGCCGGCGAGTTGGATTTAAGGCGTTGATCCAGCTAGCTAATGGAAGTGGAACTTACAAGTATGTTTCAGAATTCTTATGTTCTTTGCTTCTTCTCATAGATGCAATGCTAACATTAGTTAAAAGAAACCTAATTATATTTAAATAAACAAAATGTTAGCTTTGTGTCAAATATTTTTTTGGGTTAGTGAGCTACAAGGAGACACAGTTCTTATTGAATCCACATTTGTCTTCCTTTTCTTAAGAAAAAAATTTGGGGTGCCAACATTTTCGTATTTAAAAAAGAATAAACTGAAGATTGTGAAAATGTAAGGTTGTTGGTCAGATTCCTTTACCATTTTAGGACAGTTTTTGAAGTCTTTGATTGACATTCATCTCCCAACACATCTTTAATTCAGATTCCCGTTGACTTCATTTCTTTGTAGATGATATGTTATTGTATTAATTTATAGGTAATAAATATTTATATTCAGATTTCATCATTCCTATCGAAATGAAAATTAGAAAGAATAGACAAAAATAAAAGGATTGAAGAATGCGATATTATACTTGTAAAGAGTTGAGTTATTGACTAGCTCATGCTAACATTAATACATCAAGCATTTGTTTTAACTTTTAACCCAACTTTCACTCAGATGAAACAGAATTTACCCCTTTTGCTGGGAAATATATTGTCACTCCTATGTATCTATTGTCATTCTTATTCAAGTAATTTTTGTCTAAAATATATCTACTACTTTTAACATAAGAGAGAGAAAAAAAGTGTTTTAAATAAATCACTTAAATAGAAGTCACAATAGATAAACCACTTTTGCTAATATGAAATAGGAAGTGACACACTTGTTCTTTTTTCAGGAACAAGGCTTTGATAGTTGAGGCAGGGATATTATCCAAGCTTCCTAAGAGAATTGACCGTGAAGATGAATCAGTAATAAGTGAATTTGCAGACTTGCTGTCTTCATTGTCATCTCCAGCAAACACTCAATTCCCTCATGCTTCAATACACCTTCTCCCATTTCTTAAAGACATACTAAAGTCTTGCTCACAATGTGATACCAAACAATCATGTCTGCAGGCCTTGTACAATGTCTCAACTGTGTTAGAGAATGGAAGGCCTTTGGTTTCTAATGGGATTGTATTTACCCTCTTGGAACTATCTTCTATCAAAGAAACATCAGAGAAATCACTTGCCATCCTTGGGAACTTGGTGGTGACTTTAGTGGGAAAGAAAGCAATAGAGAATACCTCAAGGGTGCTAGAATGCTTATTGAGATCTTATCTTGGGAAGATAAACCCAAATGTCAAGAATTGTCAGCTTATATTTTGATTATTCTAGCTCATAGAAGCTCATCATAAAGAGATAAAATGGCAGGGTCAGGGATTGTCCCTGTGTTTGGGATAAGGAAAATTTTTTAAGTTAAAAATCATCTTGAAGGAAACTACATTTCAACAAGTTTTGAGGGTCAAGAAGGAGTCAAAGATAAACCTGAACATAAGAGAATATTGGAAGATCTTTGGTTTTAATTAAAAGGAACACATTTTGAGCTATTTTAAGAGATTTTTGTCACATTGTTGATTTTTCTCTAAACTGCTTGAAAGACAAGAAAATATTCTAAGACCACAAAACTAAAGGCTTTTTCGAGAAGTTTTGAAGAGTTTTTAAGTCACTGACATCAAAAACTACTCGAAAAATAGAACTGGCAAGAAAATATTCCAAGTCCACAAAACTGATGGTTTTTCGAGTAGTTTTGAGGAGTTTTCAAGTCCCTGACACCCAAATCTGCTCGAAAAACAGGACTAACAGGAAAATATTCTAAGTCCACAAAAAACTGATGGCTTTTCGAGGAATATTTGATGAGTTTCCAAGTACCTGACACCCAAAACTGCTAGAAAAGCAGGAAGTGGTAAGAAAATATTCTAAGTCCACAAACTTGGCTGAGCTCCAGATTTCCTCCAGAATTGCTCGAAAAACAAGAAGTGGTCAGAAAATATTCTAAGTCCACAAATCTGGTCGAGCTCAAGAGTCCCTCCAAAATTGCTCGAAAAACAGAAATGAGCAAAGAAAATGTTCTAAGTCCACAAGACCAAGACAGACTCTCAAAACTCCAGAATGGCTCGAAAAGAGAAGTCAAGAAGAAACTATTCCAAGGCCATAACATTAAAAGAGTTTCCTAGGTTTCTCTCAGAAATACTCGAAAGATAGGAGTATTGAAAAATCCAAAAGCGGTTACCAGTAATTATCAACATTCACCACTACGCAAAGGAGATCATGGGCGATAGCGGTTACAGCCCCAACAAACAGCACGATCACAAGCAATCGTGGATAGTGAGCATCAACAGTTGAAGGCAGTTACTAAGAAGTGCCCGTAAAAGGAGGAAAACGGTGGTGATCTTCATGTCTATAAATACTACAAAGCATTATTTCACAGAGGACGACTTTTTGCACCCAGACACCGCACCTAAACTCTCTGAGACGCTGAAACCCTGCACCGTGCCAGACACCAGCTACAAGGAGACATAACGGTCGTTGCTGTTCATTGCTAGGAGTCGTACGTTTACATTCACGTACCTTTACATTCTTGCATTTACGATTCTGCATTTAAATTCCAGCTTGATGCTTGTTTCAATTATTGCAATTCATTTCCTATTTAGCGCTTTTCTGTAAAGAACATTTACATTTTCATTTATTATTCACTATTCTTGCTTAATACTCTTTTACGTCGTTAATTTGAGCATCACGTTAACAACACACTTAAAAGAACCCAAAGAGAACATAAATCCAGTCCCCAGATTGATCTTTGGATTATTTGTTTACAATTGTCATTTTTCACCGTAAACAAATTGGCATGCCCGGTGGGACAATATTGTGTGTTTTGAATGATTGATTGCTTTGTTGCATGATATTACGTAACGGACGTTGTATTATAGCTAATAGAGGAAAAAATAGTGATTCGAGTTCTGGGAATGACAATTCTAGAAGTGATGGTAGTGATACCAACTCAGAGAATGTAAGCGGCAATAATACTACTGCCGCACAACCCACACCAACGACGGCGTTACCTACGCCGTCATCTCCCGTAGTTAGCCAATTTATGGCTACTATGCCGCCAACTAATCCCAGCATAAACCCTGGCCCAAGGCCAAGGTTGGGTGATCACCCATTTGGCTTACCTCCCGTGTGTATGCCTCCTATCTTTGGAGTATCAACCT